GCCAGGAGACCAGGCCGTCACCAAGCAGCGGTACAGCCCTGCATCCGAGACCTGAGTCTGGTACATTCTGTAGCGAAACTCATCCTCCTGCACTTTCTCCAGCACCACGCCATCTGCCCGTGATGCGTCTGTCCAATTCTCCAGCTTCACCACGGCCTCCTGGTCCAGGGAGATGATGTGCTTGGTCTCGTTGGGGCTCAAGAGGTCCCCCACGGGCTTCTCGGCCGTGATGAGAACAGAGTAGCGTGGCGACTTAATATTCTTGGAAGACACTTTGCAAGTCATCTCAAATGTACTTCCTGCCGCGAAGAATGGCTTGGGCTGCCTCGCCTTCACCACCAGCACAGAGTCTGAAATGAAGTAGCAGAAGAGAGTGATTGCCCACAGGAGTGGTTAAAATGCGTACACATTTAAAGGCAAACTATCGGATGTGCAAATGGTGGCACACAATAGCCCTTAATGAAATCGGGAAACGCTGAAAGAAAATCAGATGCATCTCTAAGCAGGCTGCAGGGAGTGCCTGGGGAAAGGGAGCAGGGCTCTGCGGGTGGGGATTGGGCTGTCAGAATTTTTAAATCCTGAAGGAGTTTTACCAAGAATGCATGGGAGGACCTGGGAAGCTACTGGTGCCCCCAGGACGTAAGGTAGAGAGCCCATCCCAACCCCCTGCTGCCCAGTCAGTGACCTTCCAGGGCAGTGACACCCTCCATCTGAGAGGGTTCCCAAGGTTGCGATCTTTTCAGAAGAAGACGGCCGCATCTTTCTCCCGTGGAGTGACCGCTGAGTCACTCTGACCTTTCGGCTGGCAGGCAAGTGCTTAACCACTGAGCCACTCTGCCGCCTTGGCCAGAGCCCACCGTTAATGAGTGGGAATGCCATTTGCTTCTGCTTTCCTGAGACGCTCCTGCGTGCAGGGAAAGTACTCGTCACTACCCTAGCCTGCTCGGAGTGAGGGAGGAGAGCGCTGTTAATCATAAGATGGGACCATTATAGATCTAATCATTTCCATTTAGCTTACACCTTAATTCCAGAGATGCTATGTTAACATTTGGCCAAGTGCCTATGGCTCCACAAACTTTTTCCGACTTCTTTGTCAAAAAAAAAAAAAAAAAAGGAAAAAAAAAATAAAAAACAAAAAACAAAAAAAGAAGTTCTCAATGCAGGGACCCTGGGTACAAAGGATTTGCAGCACTCCCAGATCTAATCATTTCCATTTAGCTTACACCTTAAT